ATGTTTGGGGTTGTCAGACAAAAGTAAGAATTTACAATCCGTAAGAAAAGAAACTGGATGCAAGAACAATTAATGGATATTTCATTGGTTATCAGAAAAATCAAAAGGGTATATGTTTTATTGTCCTACCCATAATACAAGAATTGTTGAAATTGGAAATGCTTGGTTCATTAAAAAAGGTGAAACTAGTGGGAGTGAAGCTTCACGAAATATGGAGATTAAGGAAGTTAGAATACAAGTTCCTGTAATTAGTACATCTTCTTCAAGAGTTGTTGTTCCACATGTTGTAGAATCACACGACAATCAAGAAGAACAACAAATAAATGATTCTGAGATTAACACTGAGTCGATAATAGAATAATCACAAGAAATGGTATTAAGAAGATCTCACAAAGAAAGAAAGTGTGTTATTTCAAATGATTACATAGTTTATCTACGAGAGTCAGAAAATGACTTAAGTATTAATAATAACCCAATTTCATTTTCAGAAACCATTAATGATAATAATTCTGACATATGGTTAAATGCTATGAAAGATGAACTTAAATCAATGGCCCATAATGGTGTATGAAATCTTATGGAATTGCCAAAAGAATGCAAGAGTGTTGGGTGTTTAAGACTAAGCATGACTCTCATGGCAATATTGAACGTTACAAAGTTCGACTTATTGCCAAAGGTTTTACTCAGAAAGATGACATTGATTATAAGGAAACATCTTCACCTATTTCTAAGAAAGATTCTTTTAGAATTATCATGGCATTAGTAGCTCATTATGATCTTGAGTTGCATCAAATGGATGTTAAAACTGCCTTTTTAAATGGGGATTTAGAGGAAGACGTTTATATGGACCAACCGATGGGGTTTATTGAAGAAGAAAGATAACACATGGTGTGTAAACTTAAGAAATCAATATATGGACTTAAATAAGTTTCTCAGTAATGGTATCTTAAGTTCAATGACACTATTCTGTCCTTTGGATTTAAGAGAAACATTGTTGATCGGTGTATATATCTGAAGGTCAGTGGGAGCAAGTTTATATTTTTGATTCTGTATGTGGATGATATCTTGCTTGCGACTAATGATCTTGGTCTATTAAGTGAGACTAATAAGTTTCTCTCTAAAAACTTTGAAATGAAAGATATGGGTGAGACATACTATGTGATAGGAATAGAAATATTCTGTGATAGATCACAAGGATTGTTAGATTTGTCTCAGAAAGTATATATTAATAAAATTTTAGAGAGATTCAAAATGGAGAAATGTTTAGCATCTCCCGTTCCAATATAGAAAGGAGACAAATTTAGTCTCATGCAATGTCCAAAGAATGACTTGGAAAAGAAAAAAATGGAAAATATCCCTTGTGCATCTGTTCTTGGGAGTTTGATGTATGCTCAAACATGTACGAGGCCAGATATTAGCTTTGTAGTTGGTATGTTGGGTAGATACCAGAGTAATCCTGGACTGGATCATTAGAAAACTGTAGAGAAAGTCTTAAGATACTTACAAGGAACAAAGAATCACATGCTTACTTATAGGAAAGTTGATCATCTTAAGGTGATTGGATATATAAATTCAGATTTTGCTGGTTGTATGGATACGCGAAAGTCTACATTTGGTTATGTGTATCTTTTATTCGGATGAGCGATTTCATGGAAAAGTGTGAAGCAGTCTATCATTGTTGCATCCACCATAGAAGCTGAATCTGTGGCATGCTTTGATGCCACAGTTCAAGCTAATTGGTTGCAGAATTTTTTTTTTAGAACTTAGAGTAGTCGATAGCATTGTCAAGCTGCTGAAAATTTATTGTGATAATTTTGCAGCAATCTTCTTTTCTAAGAATAACAAGTATTCCAAAAGTGCTAAGCATATGGAATTGAAATACTTTACCGTTAAAGAAGGAGTTCGAAACGAAGAATGTCAATAGAACATATTAGCATTGATCTTATGATTGTTGATCATTTAACAAAGAAATTATTGCTCAAGTTGTTTACTGGTCATGTAGTGAATCTGGGCATTATGTTTACCAATGAATGTTAAATGTTAATGTTATTATTAATGCATATGTGACACTCTAAAGATCTTTAATGTATAGGTTTCTAAAATTTTTGTTTTCTTCTTTATTTATATGCATGCAACTTATGATGAAGAAAACAAATTATGTTATTATTATTGAAAGTGATATTATGTTTAAACCTATTATGGGTTTTTCATTATAAAGTCATATTAAGGAGAAAAAGATAATATAGTAGTACATGAAAGGCAGCATATCGATTGAATGACATGTAACCGACATGACTCTTGTTATAGATGTATCTTTAATTATGAATAATAATAAAACTAATTTATGTAAGGTCCTTTAATGCGCATTATGTCTTAAGTAGTAAATCTGACATCACATGAGTTAAGTGGAGAATGTTAGAATTAATTTAATTAATTTATTCTATTATGTGACTTATGTGAAATATAATGATGAACCCAAATATGTTTTAATAAAATATAAGGACCTATTGGTTATTATGGGATGTTAGAATAAAATAAAGATAAAATAAAATAAAAACTTACGGTAACTAACTTGATGAACGTTGGTTAATGAAAGGAAATTAGGATTCTGTCTCTAGCTATAAGGTTATTTTCACAAAAAACAATCAAGAAGTGTGAGAGGAGAAAGAAAAACAAAGAGATAGATTGAAAAGATAAAGATCAAGATTAATCTTCTTATTATGATTTATGAGAATTATAAATCTAAAAATCTTATAAAATAATTTATTGGAATGAACGAGGAAAGTAAGAAAACTACAAAATAATTTACCTTTTAATCATTCACAATAAGATACGATAATAGTTTTATTCAATACATTTTATTAAACATTTCAACCATAAATAAAAATTCTTACTTTTCCAACTTATAAGAAGTTTAATGACATTTCAGTAAGTAACCAAGCTGAACATCATTCTTTATTATTTATTTATTTTATTCAATAAATTGATACTCCAAATAATTAAAACTATGTTTTTTTAACTATTACTTAAAACATCGTTTAATGATCAATATATAATTATAATAAGTGGAACTGATTTCAAAAATTTTAAGTTATTTGATATTTGAAAGTATTACGTAATAACATAATTGTTAAAAACGAAAATTTTATTAAAGATAATCCATCAATATTTTAATATAAATTAACTATCAACAAATTAATACATATTTCATATATTATATTAAAACAAAAAAGCATTAATTATATAGTTGATATAGTATTTAAAAAGCAACTGTAGTATGAAAATACTCATATGAAAATCTTGTGAAGAAGTAGGTCTGTACAAAATTTGAACCTTCCTTCTGAACAAAATTTTATAGTATTTAAAAAGCAACTGTATTTGTTATTTATTAAACATAAAAACCCACATTTTGTTTTCTATCTTGTCTCCTTGTTATTAATTATTGATATCAAAATATTTTTAAATTTATGTTTCCTCCGTCGATATTAAATGTAACAAAATATTTATACATCAATGAATTTAATTTTAATAAACAACTATTACCTTATTTATAGTTATTTATTAATTTAATAATTATTTTAATTCTAATTTAAATTACGTGATCTTGTTAAATCTAACATTATAATACAATTATTTATCAATAAAAGTAAACCTTTTGTATCATTTATAATACTGTACAACCTATTATAATTTTAATGATTGTGTATTTGTACTTATATTTTTACATATAATTTAATAAAGTTATTTATAAAAAAAGTCAACGAAAATATATTTTTATTTAAATAAACCATTCATTTGAATCTTTAGTTCCTTAAAATGTTATTAATATTATTTCAAATTAATAAGTCGTGTATTGAATAAAATATAATGTGATAATAAATTAAAAAATAATATTAAAATAATTTAAATAGATAGTCTAATTATAAATAATAAATTATATAATTTATTTAACTTTAATATAATATATATAGTAATTACTTCCTTCTTTTTAAAATATATAATATTTAATGTTAACTTGCATAGACGAGCATTAATTTATATTATTTTTAATAAATTTATTAATTTTTTTAATTTTTTTATCATTTTAATATTTTTTTTCATCTAAACTTATTTGTAAATATTTTTTATTTCCTAACTTGTATCCTTATTTCTAATAATTTTAATATTTAGATGGGTATTCAATTAGTAATACTACAAATATATAAGTATAATTCAAGTAATATATATACCTTATTATCTATAAATAGTGAAAGTATATGTCTCTATCAATATATGTGTATCATATTTATGTAAAATAATAAAAACAATATTATCAATATATAAGAATAGTTATCAAAATAACAAATTATTAGTGTAAATAAAGTCGTTGACATTTTTTATATAATTAATTTATTTTAAAATATTATTTTAATTTTTTAACTCTTCAAATATATCCATTTTTTTCTCTTATTTTTACTGTTTTTTAGATATATTAACTATATTTTTCTTTACATTATAATACTTTTTTTTCAATAACATCTTTTAAATGAAATCTCATTTATATATCGTTTGGAAGAAATCTCATTTATATATAATTATAGATAATATCATAAAAGTAGTTATTAAAAAAAATTATTAAATAAAATATGTATAGTATCATAATTGTCTCTTTATATATTAGTAGTAGTAGTAGTATGTATATATATATATATATATATATATATATATATATATATATATATTACTTTAAATTACATGAAATTATTTTTGTTGTATATATTATGTGGAATCAGTTGTGCATACTATTTATAATTAATGTTAATTAACCATTTTTTCATACACTTAATGTTGATTGGAATAAACAGAAAAACATTCAAATTTGAATATAATATAAAAACTCATTAATGTATGTAAACATTAAAATCGTAATAAACATGGTTAGAAACCGATTCAAAACTGCAGGAAATGTCATGGTACCACAAGTCTCACTAATTGGCACCAATGTCATGAAGAAAGTATCACTAATTGCCACCAATATCATCAAGAGATACATTAAGATCAATCCTAGGTTTCTTTTTCAATGGAAAAGGAATAACAGAGTTGCAGTTAGGACATATGGGATTATGCTTCCTTGTTATCACATATGATAAGCAACCAGGACACCCTGTAGCCAGTGGTGAAGACAACTTCTCTTCATGTTCTTCATCTTTGGTGTCTCTAACTGAAGAGGATGAAGAGGAATAGCAAACAGATGAAGAAGACAAATATGATGATTTTAAGGGTGAAACCCTCTTCCTTGCTGTTGCATTTTTCTCTACTCTTTTAAGAGCTGATTCCACCTTATCAACTGTGCACACACTTTGATAGTTGTTTGATGGCATTTGAAGGAGGAAAATTCAAGTCTTGAATCTTTGGATCCACTTTATTAATTTGGAATTTGTGCTCACACACTGAAGACTTGCATCTTTCAACGTACACTTTCCCTGACTGCAATTCACAGTGATCATCAACACTTGAAACAATTCAAATAGTATGAACGAAATCGCAATACTCAATACAAAAAAAACGCGTATTACCGACGAATATTTACCGACGGATTTATAATTGTCGGAAAATAATTATTATCGACGGAAATTACCGACAGATATAAAATATTTGTGGAATTTGATTTTACCGACGGATATATCCGTCGGTAAAATAATAATTAGTTACCGACGGATATATCTGTCGATAAATCCGTCGGTAATTTACAGATGAATTTATCGACGGATATATCCGTCGGTAAATCTATCGATAAATTAATAATTAATTACCGACGGATATATTCGTCGGTAAATTCATCTGTAAATTACCGATCGAATATTTCCGTTGGTAAATTAACAATTAGTAAATATTCACCTAATTAAAAAATTAAATATTTTTTATTTAATAATTTAATTTAATCATAATTAGATTAATTTATAATAATTTCTTAAATTAAATAATTTAAAAAATGAATATATAAATATATAAATATATAAAATATATAAATATATAAATATATAAATATATAAATATATAAATATATAAATATATAAATATATAAATATATAAATATATAAATGTATAAATATATAAATATATTTGTATATAAATATAGTTTATTTGTAAATTATTATCAAAAAATTCTAGTAGCTTAGTGGTTAGAGTATCGACTTCTAACTCTAAGATCTTGGGTAACAATTCTCTTAATTTAATAATAATTATAGACTTTAAAAATGTAATAGAGGAAAATAATACAAATATAAAGGGAAATTAATAAAAATATTATCGACGAATTTCTGTCCGTCGGTAATTTCATAAAACATTTACCGACGGATTTTGACCGATCGGTAATATTAAAATTTCTTGTAGTGACTTAACAAAACAATAAGAATTAAACCAGAAAACAATATTTTGAAAAGATTCAGGAGACTAAAGAAACCAAAAAATATATAGAAGAAAAAGAAAACTGAACTTCATATCGGAAAGCAATGTTGTAAACTAGATTTGATATATTTTTCTTCCGATGTTCTCCTAGGTCTTTTATCATTTAGAAACCAAGGTGAAATGTAAGTTATATACAAGTTCCTCTGTCAACGAGTATATTTTGAAGGAAAACTTTGTGAGAGAAGAATAGAGTTTTAATTGAAAAACATAGAATTCATTTTATAATTTTTATTCATATTATTTTTGTACATAGATACTATGATCTTATAGTATTTTACTCCAATAAATCAGGACTAAATAAAGGAAGTTCTGATTATACAATATTTTGTACTGCTATATAAACCTATAATTTAGCTAATCAAATATCTTTATCCCAACACTCCCCCTCAAGTTGGTAAATGGATGTCATACATTCCCAACTTGTCCAATAATCTCCTAAAAATCTGACTTGTCACAGCTTTGGTAAGAATGTCTGTCAGCTGATCTTCAGATCGAATATTTAGCAATTCCAAAATATTTTTATCAAGTTTTTCCTTGATGAAAAATCTATCAACATCCACATGCTTCATCCGATCATGTTGGACAGGGTTGTGAGCAATGTCGCGCACAACTTTATTATTACAATACAACTGAATGAGACGTGTATGTGCATACCCTAAATCTGGAGAAGTAGTCTGAGCCACAAACCTTCACAAAGTCCAAGAACCATTCCTCTAAGTTCAGCTTCTGCACTAGATCAAGCTACAATTTTTTGCTTCTTGTTTTTTCATGTGACAAGATTACCTCCTACAAATGTAAAGTATCCAAAGGTTGATCTTCTAGAGCACCTGCCCAATCTGCATCAGTATAAACTATCACATTCTTGTAGTTGGAGTTCTTCTTGAACATAACTTCTTTTCCAGGAGCAGCTTTTATGTACCTTAAAATCTGTATAACAGCATCCATGTGTTTTTCACCTGGATTGTGCATGAACTGGCTAACCACACTAAGAGCATAAGCTAAATCTGGTCTAGTGTGTGAGAGATACATCAATCTCCCTACAAGTCTCTGATATCTTCCCTTGTTAGTTGGTGTTGATCTTCTTCAATGCACAACTTCAATCACTCTTCAATTGGAGAATTTGCTGGTTTACATGTTGTCATTCCAGTTTCTTTCAGTAAATCCAATACATACTTTCGTTGTGAGAGAAAAATACCTGACTTTGATCTTGAGACCTCAATTCCAAGAAAATATTTTAAAGGACCAAGATCTTTCATCTCGAATTTTTTTGTCAAGTACTCTTTCAATGTCTTGCATTCCTCTAGATCGTTTCTCGTAACTATCATATCATCAACATAGACAATAAGAATTGTAATATTTCCTTCATTTTTCTTTAGAAACAAGGTATGATCTTGGTTGCTCTGTTGATATCCAAAAGCAAGCATTGACTTGGTGATTCTACCAAATCATGCTCGTGGCGATTGTTTTAGTTCATACAATGACTTCCTCAACTTGCATACATTCTTGTTGTGTGTATTCGAGATCCCACATCCTTCTGGTAGCTCCATATAAACTTCTTGAGACAATTCCCTGTGTAAGAAGGCATTTTTTATGTCAAATTGTTGTAAGGATCAATCAAGGTTTATAGCTAGAGATAACAATACTCAAATTGTACTAATTTTGGCTACAGGAGCAAACATTTCAGTGTAATCTATTCCATATGCTTGTGTGTACCCCTTTGCCACTAATCTATCTTTGAATCTCTCAATTGTGTCATCTGCATTAAATTTCATAGTATACACCCATCGGCATCCTACTGGTATCTTTCCAACCGGACAATCTACTAATTCTCATGTTTTATTTCTTTACAAGGATATCATCTCCTCATTCATAGCATCATTTCACCTGGAGTAAGCTAAAGCTTCCTGCACATTGTTAGGAATATATATAGTAGATAATTAACTTATAAATGTGATATTTGAGTTAGGAAAATTCTAGTTACAAACATAATTACTCATAGGGTATCTTGTCTTACTAGTGAGGTCAGGATCATAAGTAGGCTTAGGGATACCTCTAGTGACACAATCTGGTAGAATTCTTTTTTCTGTATTAGGTTCTTGAGGGGAAAATTGGTGTGGTATATCATCAGCATCAACAGACAAATTTTCAATCTCAACATACTCAAAATCTTCCTCATTATGTGGTTGTTGATCATAACATTGTTGCATACTTTCATCATCTCCTGATACAACTTTGTAACTTTCTTTCTCCAATCTGACCTCAATATCAATTTCTTGAGGAACAAAAGTCTGAACTTCATCATAATTCTCCCCCTAAATTTCAGGCTCGAGGGAAAAATATATCAAGGTTTCATGAAAAACTACATCTATAGTAGTAAACATTTGCTTGGTTTGTGGATTGTAGCACCGATATCCTTTCTGGTGATCTGCATAGCCAAAGAACACACACCTTTCAGCTCTAGGAGACAACTTACTTCTTTAATGCTTGTGTAAGTGAACATAAGCAACACAACCAAAAATTCTATGTGTTAGTTCAGCAATTTTAGGACTTACTACTACATCTGTAAGTGATTGAAGAGGTGTTTTATACTCAAGAGACCTGGACGGTGTTCGATTGATACTGTATACTACATATGTGATAGTTTCTCCCCAATATATTATTGGCATGTGAGCTCCAATCAGTGCAGCTTGGACCACCTCCAATAGATGACGGTTCTTTCGTTCAGCCACCCCATTCTGTTGTGGAGTATTTGGACAAGATCTCTGATTAACAATTCTTTTGGCTACTAAAAAATGTTGAAGTTCTGATTACATATATTCTCCTCTGTTGTCACTGCGCAGTACATGAACTTGTGCTTTGTACTGGGTCTCAATGATTTTGCAGAATTTCTGAAATAGTCCTCCAACTTCACTTTTAGACTTCATCAAACATAACCAAGTCATTCGAGTACAATCATCAATAAACGTTACGAACCACGTTGAGCCACCCAACGTTGTAACCTTAGATGGACCCCATACATCATAGTGAATGATCATAAAAGGAAGATAACTTTTATTTGAAATTAAAGGAAAAATGTGTTCTATGACTCTTTGCAAGCTCACAAACATCACAATAAAAAGTTGAAGTGTCTACTTGGTCAAATAAATTTGGAAATAATTTCTTTATGTAACCAAAAGATGCATGTCCTAGACGCTTATGTCATAACCAAATATCCTTGCCTTTTCTTACTTCTTGAAACCCTTTTGTTGCTAGCACTTGACCAAGTCTCTTTGAATCTTTTTCTGTCAGGTCCAGGTAATACAACCTTCCTCGCCTAATACTACAACCAATCATCTTCCTCGTTTGAATGTCCTTAAAAACACAAGAGTCAGACCTAAAAATTATAACACATAAAAGAGTTTTGGTTATTTACGAGACTGACAATAGGTTATATTTAAGAGAAGGAACAACAAGGACAGTATCAAAATTCAAATTGTTTGAAATAGAGACAGTTCATTCTCCAATAATAGTGGATTTACTACCATTGGCTGTGAAAATAATTTTTTGTGAGGAAGGTTTAAGATTTTTAATATGTCTAACATCAAAAGTCAAATGATCAGAACATGCAGAGTCAATTACAGCAGCATCAGTTGGATTTCTTTTTTAATTCTTCTTTGATGCTCGACTGTGATCCCACCACTCGGGGTATCTTATGATTTCATAGTATCGTTCCTTGGTGTGTTACACTGAGTACACTTGTAGTTACCTTTTTCAAAATCTTTTGATTGCTTCGATTTGCTGTGATGATTTGCTAATTGCTTCTTCTCATCATAGCTGTGGAATCAGAAATCATATCTTATGTTTTCAACGTTGTTCATCGAACTGTCTCTCTCCGGATTAATGCATAGCATTCTTCTAAATCAGGTGTCACTTC